GGGTAGGGAAAGGGGTTTGGCTAGATTCTTCTGTTGTCCTCTGGGCAGTCCATGGAAGGCATTTAAACAAAAACTAACCAGCCCAACCCTGAAGTCAGGCTGCACAACATTGCTTTTAGTTCAAAAGTGGTCATGGCAAAGCATTACAAAGTTAGATTTGTCCTGGTGACTAAGATGGACTCTTTTAGACAACATGAAAGACAGGAAAGAGGAGTCTTAGATTCACATTGCAGGAGTCATCCAGGTCACAGTCCTGGAGACCGTGATGTTATTTTGTTCCATCGACTGGTCCGTTCTGAACATCTTTCAGGATTGGGAGGGATGGGGTGGCCCACTGGTGTGATGGTAAGTCCCAGAATCCCAGCCTGTGGCAAGTCATGAAGGGGAGGCTGCTCAAAGTGGGAGTGTGGTGACAGTGGTGAGACTACCCCAATCTCCCTGCCTCGCTAAACTCCCTTCTACACTCTAAGCTGAAAATAAATTACCGAAGATTCATCAGAGAAGCAGTTTCCAAAAAGGGTGGCAACTTTGTCTCATCAATAGCAACCACATGCCAAACAAGATTTTGATAGCCCACATACAGGTACTTCCTTTCCTCCCAGGAAGATTCTAGTCTGTTATGACTATTCTGGCAAGGTTACAAAATGACAAGTGATTTTTGGATGCCTAACAGGAAACATCTTGAAGGGGCCTGATTTTCCAAAAGTGCTGAGCACTCAGTTTCTGAAAATTAAGGCCTTTTAAACCATCTCAGTTTAGACACCCAAGAATTACTAGGTACTTTGAAACTTGTTTATAAAGGCCAACTTGTTTAGAAGTGACCTTCCTGTTGCCTTTCATCCTTTTTGGACAATGTAATATTTCAGTGTTGGACTCTATCTGAGGCTCTCTCAGTTTGCTGGCTGAGCATACACAGTTTTCCCTAATTTGATTTTTGAGTCACTGAGGTTTATTGTCTTCAGTGATATCAATGCCTGCGTAGCCAATGACTCTTCCAGGGTGACTCAAGATCATATTACAATCAGTTTCAGAACTGACACATTTAAGCAGTACCATTTTCAGTTCTGAGTTTGGTTGATTTTTACAGTGAGAACACAAAACACAGGTAAACCACCATCTAAGTGAGTCATACTCTAATCATAAAATGATTAAATGAGTCAATTAAAACCTTCCGTTCAGCCGCTCTCATGTAGTCTCAACCAACTAAATAAAGGAACAAATAAAATAGAGGGCTTTGCCGTGCATCTATACATACATTGATAATCACTCCTTTGTCCAGAAGACTCTGCTTTTTTGCGGTCATTACAAAATAGTGAGTGCTATCTTTGTAGTAAACAATATTCTCCAGGTCAATTCCTGAAAAGACGACAAGAGATTTGTGAAGAAAACCTAACTTAAATGAATGTTTTCATTAGTTTAGCCATTGCCATCAATAATGGATATAGTCCCCACAAATATCTTTCATTTAAGGTTTAGTTCAGGCACCTCCCAAATATAAATACTTGGAGTCCTCAACTGAGATTTCAGAGTGCATAGAACAAAGGGGCCCCAAAACACAGAATACAAGAAAGTCCTTGACCAGCTGTAAAATATTTGTAGCTATTATTAGCATTCTAAATAATCTTCTAAGAAAGGAAAAATATGATCCATATTTGACACAAAATGTGTAGGTTGCCATAGGCCTAGCTACGGCTCCAATAAAATGCTCATTGATTTAAATTGGACTAGGATCAAGTGCATGGTGACTAAAACGTTAATTTAAAATACAGACTGCAATGTGGGAATGGAAGTATATTCCCGAAACCAGGGAAAGGAAGTATATAACCTTAGTATACTTCTAGTGGATGTTTCCCTATTCTGGGCCCCTTTTTCACACACTCAAGGATGAAGGGTTAAGCCAAGATACAGTTTATATAATTTAGAGAGAATGGCTTTAAATCAACTATTTATATTTTATTTTAAAGTGATATAAAAGCCTATTCACAGCAAACCAACATGCACTGCAAAAAGTACTTTCTTAGCAAATAGACAATGATGCTTCCAAGAAAGCAAGTGAGCATATTTTATGAGGTGCTTAAAACATACAATACGTGAACTAATACAAAGAAATCTAAGCATGCTCTCCTTATGGGAAATCTTTAGGTATTGAGAATGTTCTCTCACAAAAAGTTATACTTTGTATCAAAAATATTTTTTACAGTTGAGAAAAATGAAAACATCAAAAGTTCAAGGATGTGGTAACATCCATGATAAAAAAATTCCATTGTATGAACACCTCCCTCCCTAAGACTTTGAAATCAGCAGAATTTTATTGCTTTATGTTATTTAATATATTATAAACTATTTTGGAGTGGGGTAGGTGGGTGGTCCTGTATATATCAAGTTGCCCTACTGTATATTTTGTTTGGTCATGAAAAAAAATGAGAATGAGGACTTACCCGTTTCCTCTTTAAGGTCCTGGAAGAATTTTTGATTGAAGATGAAAGCAACACCACTAATTTCCTCTACCTTGGCTTCTGCAGTCGTGTTTCTGTTGATAAAGTTGGCTGTGATAGCTATAGCCAGCTTTCCACGAAACTCCTTCCTTCTAAAACCTGGAGAACAAGGGAAAGAATTACCACTACTGCAACACTGAAGTTCATTTGTTGAGGCTGACCCACATATCTTGAAAAGTTTAAGGCTGCTAATTTCAAACACTCTGAAATACTGCATTACTACTTAGCTTTTGCAGCCTTATTAAACAAAGTTGGGTTACATCCCTCCAACATTTTAGTGCTATCATACCCCTTCAGTGACAATTTAAGACTAGCAATCCAGAGAGAAGTTCTTGTAACCCTGGCTGGTGTGTAAAACCAGCCAAAGTTTTTACAACCATGCTCTGGGATGGGGGAACCTTCAAGGCAACTCTCTTTCACAAACAAATACCAATCCAGCCCCCAGTTTATGGCCAGTGGATTCCTCCTTTTTTCCAAAATCCCATGCATTTCATTTCAAGTGTCTGCATATCCCCCATTCCCAAAAGACCTGCAGATACATGCCTGGTACTGTAATGAAGATATACAACATTAAGTTGAAGGTTGGATTTTTGTTTGGTGGTTTATTGTTTATTCTGGGGTGGGAGAAAGAGGAAAGTGTGCAGCAAAAACAAACCCATGTATTCATTACTTAAAATTTTAAAACCATGAGGGAGAACATTTGTAAAAGCTACTTAGGAAAAAGCCAGAGTTTTGGTAGCACTTACTATTTGGTTAGTCTTAAAAGAAAAAAAAAAAAAAAAAAAAAAACCAAAATCAAGAGGAGGAACACAGAAAATGTGAAAAATATTTGGCTCCTACAACTATGAGAAAGATAGAAAGAAAGCATGTGTGAGAGTGAGATAGTAGGTCATGATCCAGCAAATATGCATCTGCTTATGTGTATACAATTTGAGCAGTCCATTAAAACCTTGTGTAAATTTAAGCAGACTCATGTTTACAGGATCAGGATCATAGGGAGTAGTTTAAACCAATGGCAAAAATTATGACTTTCAGCTAGTGTATTTCATAGTCAGTATCAGGGAAAATAAAGAAATTCACAGTATATAGTGATGTGTCTGTAGGTGTGTGTTTCTATTCTAGTTTTGACCTCACCCTTTGCTTGGGGTAGGTAGAATGTGCAAATTATCACTATTTTATGAATGTCTTTGGTCTGATCAACTATGGTGTGCATCAAATACTTTCTCTTAGCCAGATTATTTTTTTTAAGGGGTCATCAAGATTTTTGCTAGTGTTACACTGGCAGTAATTTTGTTTTACTGACGTGTGAATCCTGCAACAGACTTTCTGCAAAGACACCCAAGGAAGTGTGACCAAAATTTTATTTTAAAAAGTTACAGGGGGAAGGAAAAAAAAAAATCTATAAGCACTGTATTGTGTTTGGCAGATAGGAGAAAAAGCTGACATGTGGAGCAAACTAT